TTAATTCTCAAAGCCAGGGAGCTTATAATAAATCCTGCCCCAGTTCCTTTGTTTGCTTCTTCTGTTTTGGCCCCAGACAATTGGCTGGATAATGGTAGGACATTCAGAATGATGAGAGAGTTTCCAGGAAAAACCCATTTCTGTAATTTACCAAGCTAGCCATTACCCTGTTTCATTCACCTCTAGGTAACTTGCTATGCTACACAAGCAAACAGTAAATAGTAGGTTTGTTTCATCCAAGAACTCTTCATCAATCAGGATCACAGGATCATAGAAAGAGAGAGCTGGAAGGGGTGCTGTGAAGGCCATCTGTCATCCTAGGGCAGGATTTGCTGTAACTACCTCATTACTGGCAGATGTCAGTCTAATTTACTGTGTAACTTCAGCAGAACAGGATGTGAGAGCAATAGATGGTGAAAACCTCTCATACATGACAGAATCCAGATCAATTACTTCTCAGCCTGAGTATTTGCCCTCAGAGAAATGTACCTTGGCTACAGGCAATGGGGCAGTTAGAGGTGCAATGCCTTTGGATCTTCCTCAAGGGGTTGTGTATGTTTGAGGGTTCAGAGACCACAACTTCCTAATCTAACATACAGAACACTCAGCAAGGATCTCAGTTTTAATGCTTGCCACTGTTATTAGTTTTTAAGGGATGACTTCCCATATCTGAGGTAAGTCCACCAACCATTGCTGATGGACTGTTACACTGCAGACAGCCTTTTCTACCACCTCTGTGAATCTAACCCTTTATTTCTTTTGCTTCACTTACAAGTCCTTGAAAACAAAATATCCAATTTTGGCTCAGATGGAGCAGTTATTCAACACAAAGGAAGGAATATGTGTTTAAAAACAAAGGCTTTGGTTCAATCCAAATAAAATATTTATGCTTTTTTTTCCTGGTTCAGCTGCTGAGCTGAAAAATCACTATTTGCAAGCCCCTGAAAACCGCTGGCTGTCCCACTAAATTTGTGTCAAGTGGTTGCTCCAGTTCCTCTTCCTACTGGTGGTCTAAGAACTGATCTTGTCACAGCAAAATTGTCTCCTCTCCTCTGCTTGCAGCTCTGTAGAGCTGTTCTGGTCTAGTCATCAGTGAGGCAGAGTAGAGGTGACTTCACTCATCTCTGCTGATAATCTAGAGGGCTTGTGACAGACCACGCAACATACTCTCCCATCTTAGTCAGTTTAAGACTATTATTATGAACCTGGATTTCCTGTTTTTTTGCCTTGCTGAAACTACAGTCATGTCAAGCACTGGTAGTTTGGCTGGCAGCATCTCTTCCTCAGGAGCTGCCTTCCAAACCTGAGCGTGTGGGGTAGGAGTCATCAGAGTGTGGCTGAAAGAACTGATCCTGAGGAATGTAATAGCATAAAATTTATGAACTCCTATAAGACCTAGGACACCGAGCCACAAAGACATACGTGTTTACAGCTTGTAGTATCACAAACCCGATTGAGGGTCCTAGATTGATTCTGCAGTATCCAGGGAGAAATGGGCGTCTTGGAGAACGATTCACAAAAGCCAGCAAGCTGAAGATAGATGCATGTTTAAAGTTGTGCCCCTTTCTAGAACTCAGATACCACATTCAGCACTGTCAAATAAGACATCTGCCCACTTAGGCTTCAGAAACAGCTGCTTTTTCCTTAAAGTTGGGGCATAAGCTTTTCTTTTTCAGGATACCCTACTTCCAAAACACTTCTCATATAGACTGGTCATATTCCTCACCAACAGTGAGCTTTTCTGAGGAGACTTGAACCCACACTTCAAACACAGAGTGGGTTCTAACAGTGAAGATGTATGTTACTGAGAGGTTTCAGTTTTCTCTGTGGGAACTGCCAGAGAAAGCACTGGGGGCCAAGGGGTTTACCTGAAGAATAAATGGGAGACCTGGATTCAGCTCTTTTCAAGGCTGTTAGTTGTGTTTTTTCCAACAACTTCTTAATGGGAAGGGTTAATATGAAGTCTTTGGTGAAAGAACTAGAACCCATATCTGCTACCTCTCAAGGGACTTCTTTATCCCTTTGATAACATTCTTCATCTCTCACAGCACTGCTATAGTTTCAGTGAAAGTCTTTTCCTGGAATTAGCCTGATGGTTAAGTCTATTCCACCAGAGCTGAGAGCCTGACACTTCTCAAACAAGGAGGGAAGCTGTATACAGGGTCTCCCCAGCCTGTGTCAGTGCTTTGAACACTGAGAAAATCTTTTATTTTTCTCCCATATAAAAGGCAACTTAAAGCTACATTTTCTGTGGAGCTGGTCCTGTAGTAATGCACTGGAGTACTCTAAGGTGCAAGAGGGGGTGCCTGAAAATGGAATATCAAGGGCCTAGGGACACTATTACAGTGGGAGTTCAGGTGTTCACTCAGTGCAATGAGTCTGTTTGGGGGTCTAAGACTGGGAGATTTTCTTTCACAGTGTACAGGGAATGAACAGCTCCCAGCTAAGGAAGCAGAGCTTTGAATTTATGCTGAAGAGAGTTTTCTTGGTGATAGGAGCAACAAGGAGCTTAGCATGGGTACCAAGCCTGCCTGTGGCTTGCTAAATAGTTTGAGCTGAAGGGTGGCACAGTAGAAGGCCTTTGGTAACATCAATCCTCCACTCTTTTCTGAGATTAAATCCAGCCTGCATGAAATTTGTTGGCAGTGGTTTCCCACTTAGCAATAACCAGACCATATTGAGACAAAATATTCAAAATATATAACAATGTGGGACTTGGAAAAGTATCAGCACAAAATTATGCCTTCCAGGATAGAAAACCAATGGATATGCTGGAGCTGATTAGCATCGTTTTTAATGAATGAGACCCTGCTATATTTCTTGTTTGGCATTGGCCTACCGAAGAGTATAACCTGTCTTAACATCTTCTTTAAGTGATTCAGTGAAATTTCTAGGTAATGGATTAAGAGAGTCATTAATAAATTGGGCTATAAAAGTCTGGACGAAAGTAGCCATCTCCTACTGACAATGTGCTGAATAAAGCAGCTGTGATGCTCAGGTAATTGGCAAACAGGCAAACAGTGTCCTTGCTACCTGGGATATGATTCTAGTCAAGGAGGAAATGGGGTTCTTTTAATTAAAACAATTTGTGCAACATCATTTCACTTAAAATTGTCCATGGCTTTTTAAAGAAGATTGAAAACAGTCTAATAGGGGCCTGATTTGGGTCCTACAGCAGGAATAACGAAGCTGATAAAGGGAGTTTTATAGTGCATATGTGACAGGGCTAAAATATGGGTGTTAACCTTGGCAGCAGAAGTTAATGAGCAGTTTGATACTTTATAGAGGTTCTATTTCTCCAGCTGCAATTGTGTGAGTGCTTGTGCTGGTATTGGCAGGGATAGAGTTAATTTTCTTCACAGTAGCTTGTATAGGGCTGTGTTTCGTATTTGTGCTGGAAACAGTGTTGATAACACAAGGATGTTTTAGTTATTGCTGAGCAGTGCTTATGCACCATCAAGGCTTTTTCTGCCTCTCACACCACCCCACCAGTGAGTAGACTGAGAGGCACGAGTTGTTGGGAGGCAACACAGCCAGGATAGCTGACCCCATCTGACCCAAGGTATATTCCATACCATACTTTGTCATGCTCAACCTATAAAGTAGTTGGAAGAAGAAGGAAGGGAGGGAGATTTGGAGTGATGGCATTTGTCTTCTCCAGTAAGTTTTATGTGTGATGAAGCCCGGCTTTCCTGGAGGTGGCTGAACACCCACCTGCTGGTGGGAAGTGGTGAATGAATTCCTTGTTTTGCTTTAACTGTTAAATTGTCTTTATCTTAACCCATGAGTTTTCTCATTGTTATTCTTCTGATTCTCTCCCCCATCACACTGGGGAGGAGTGAGCAAGCACTGTGTGGGGCTTAGTTGCTGGCTGGGGTTAAACCATGATGTTCTGCCCAACATGGGGCATGAGGATTTTGAAATCAGGATAGTAATTGGGAGAGGTAATGGGCAAAACATGGACTGAACATCACTAGAGCATGCAATGATTCTGGGGAATTTCTCTTCCAGTTGTGATGGGATGAGGGGTGGATCAACCTGCCATACTGTTCAGAGCTCTTTCTTTCTGCCAGGCATTGGATGTGCATCTGCATTTCCCTTAAGTTGTCTTGAAATAATGGTTGTAATCAGCAGCCCCATGTTCCAGACAATCAGGTCCTTGCATACATGTGCTCAGGTGCTTTCTACACCCATAGCCTAGGTAACAATACAAACCAGGAGCTTCTATCTAAAGGAGTATTTGGCTTTTATATAAATCTAGCACGCTTCCCTAAATTCATGGTAGAATGTAGTTTTGACCATGTTTGCAAATAGCTTTGTGGAAAGAACTTTATGTGCATATAGCTGTCTTAACTCCAACACATTTCACAAATAATACACACAAAATAACTGCTTCAGCTGCTGCACCAGCATAGCTACCCTCTAGTGAAGTGTTTACCTGACCATGGCCAGCAACTGGATTTTATGAAGGAAGTGGAAAATTCAGCAGAGTACAGCAGCTAAAAATGTGAGCCATGAGATAAAAAATGAGGATGCAGTGATCAGTACTTTTGTCCTGCAGTGTGAAACAGTGCCAGCTTGAATTCAATGATACCTCAATCGATGAAAGAGTGAGAATCCTGAATACTAAATGCACATGGACCATGAATATATTTGGTATGATGTTCAAAACCAGTAGGGGAAGCAGGTGGGAATGTGAAAACAGAATTACTCATAGCATCTAAAGTGAGTATACTTCAAACATCACTTAGCATCTAGCCTAGACAAAGACAGGCATGTTTAAAATGGTTTTATCTGTTTGTGGTTAACCACAGTTGTTAATTGTGGGTTTTCCCAGTGCACATCCATTTGCAGCTTTGCTGGGCCTGGAAGGAGCCTTTGTAAAGGAACTGCCAATTAAGGACAGAAACTTGTCAATGAAGACAATGATCAATACTCATTGATACATCTAAATAACACCCAGTCTCCACATTAGAAGGGGAGAGGAGTCTTTGTTGCTCTCCCATTCTTGTGGAATGGATTTGAGCAGGCAAATGACATCGTGGGAGGAGGAATTGTGTGAAATGGAGTGACACAAGAAAAACTAAAGGGGTGAAGTGGAAGACTACAGAAAAATGGAGAGACGCCCAGGTGAAAGAAAGGAAGCTGGCAAACTGCAGACATCTGAACTCCCTTATACAGAGAAAATGGAAACAAATAAAATCCTGCCTTATGCTGCCCCTTGTAATTTTCCAGAAATATTCAGTAATTTTCCCTGGAGTCCCATGCTGACAGCTGGCAGATGCTGAATGAGAGAAGGTCCCTAGAATGAGGATGGCAAGGTCACATCTGGAATGCCTGTGAAGATACTGATGCAGTGAATCACAAGCAACTTCTGCTGCCACGTAGTGGCAGCGAGAAAAGCTGCCATATGACAGATCTTTGTAGTCCTTGTCCGAAGATGATGTCTTCGTATTTTTATTAATGATGTTCTCTGGTAACAAGTGTGCTAATTTTAGGATGTTAGAATCACAGAGGAAGGGGAAGACCTTAAGCAATACTGTTTCTGCAGACTTAACTTAGTGTGCAAGTAACTCCTTATAAACTACATAGCATTCTCCTATGCCATAGGTTTATTTAAAAGTGTTGCTAAGAAGGTGTTTAAAAGCTTGTATTTCAGAGACTGTGTATGAATAGTACCTCTCACTGCCGTGGTTGCTATAGTAAACCCTTGTTCTTACTTGAACACTACAATAAATAATACTTTAAAACTGGAGAGGAAAGTAAAAAGAAAAAACTCCATTAGGCGTTCCATGAGCCACTTGAAATTACTGATCATTTTTCATGTTTTGCAAGTATGGAATGCTTTGTGCAGCTATAGAATAGCAACACCTGCATAATTGTGATGTTTTCTCTGCATAAGTTGTTCCTCAAAACTTCTCAGGATACAATGTGGTTCAGAGCACCTCTGTCAATAAGGAAAAGAGCAATGAGTGGGATTAAAATTAGCTGTTTTCTTAAAATTATATACATTTAAGACCCAGTTTCAGAGTAGAAGAGGATACGAAGGGTAGAAGTGATCCTTGAAATGATCCATGCTGTAACTGCTGCCAGTGGAGTTGGACTGGAGGTAAATTTTCCAATCTTTTCCCTTGGTGTTAAAATGTAGTAGTTCACAAGCATTGCAGTTAAAGATTTCACCCATGCTGATGGCAGCCCTAGAGTACTACAGATAATGCTGTCCAGGAGAGAAAGTACATGCTGGGGAGGGTAACAAGACAGAGGATGCTGAGCAGCTGGGAACTATAGCAGCTCCTTTCTACCTGGGTGTGAAAAGGAAGAGAAAGAACCTTGAAGGCCAGATGGACTCTTTGAGGGCTGAGAGAAATGTCCCATACATAATGATAAACAGCTGTGAGGCAAAAGACTTGCAGGCCCCTGAGGGGAAGGAGAAGGAAGAGTGAGGTTAACAGAAGTAGATTATGCTATCATAGTAAAGCAGCGAAAGAGATTGATAAATGAAATGCTGGGTTCAGAGTTACTGGCATGAGGCAAATGGTATTTATATATAAAGCACTGGAGTTGGAATAAGCTGATTTGGGCCTATTTTGTCCTTTGATCAGACTGCACATGTCCTCGGTCCTCTGTCTCGTCTTCCCAGCTGCATGCTGGGGCTAGTGCTTTCTTTTGCAGGGCTTTTGACAGAGGCAAACGTACTATTGAGCTGTTCAGATGATGCGCCAACATGGGCTATAGCAGAAGACATCTTTTGTGGACTGCTGCTCACTCAAGGAGTGGGAGACATTTATTCCTCACCAGCTAAGATGCTTCTCATGGATCTGCATCCTCATTAGCAGACAGCATCTTTTTTTTCTTGTAATTAGCTGACAGTTCAATAGGTAGCTCCAGTCTCTTTTACACCTGGAAAACAATCAACATGGAAATCATAGAAGCACATGTCTTCCCTTCCTACTTTAAAGCAGTCTGAGTTACACACATTGTTAAACACATAATACACAACAACTGTGTGTTAGAGCTCTCCAGAACATGTGTGAAATAATGTTGGTTTGGTTTTTTTTTCCCTTTCCTTTCTTAATTGGCTTCAGTTTGAAACGTACTTTAGCTTCTCTGACTTCTGTATTAGCCTCAACGCACCAGTCATGGATCGGGCCATAAGGAACTGTTTCCAGCCACCTGAACAGTGGAAACGGGAAGCGAGGGCAGCTGGAGGGGGGAGCGTGCACCAGCTGGCCCTGCTCCTGAGGCATTATAACTGGATTCTTTGGGGTAGAAGGGTGTGAGGTCTCAGGTCATTTCCTGCCAGGTTTGCTCTGAATGGGAGGGGGATATGTAATTGTGCTGTCTCCTTGTACCATTAGTGTCAAGACTCATTAGGAACTCAATCTACTCAGTGGCAGTAGGCATACAAAAGAAAGAACTAGCCAAAGTCTGCAGACTGCAGAGCAGGAGTTGGTGGAGGGAGCAATTGTAAATTCCCGTCTGGGTAATTAGAGTCAGCAGGGAATCAGATTGGCTACGGCAGGGCTTTCATTTTTCCCCTTGCTGTTTTAACGGGATTGGCAGGTGCTGCTTTATTCCAGGGGTGAGGTGATGTGCCTGTGTCATAATTCACAATGAGAAATGATCATCAATTTGCTACCATGCTCCTGGGGTGAGCTGAGCAGGCAAACTGTGATTACTATTGTTATCAGTACCTTGTTAGTATGGAGCAGGAGATTGTTGTGGGCAGTTGTCTCTGGAAGGGGTGGGATCTGTACTCACAAAAAGCATGCTTCTGGCAGCTTCGCTACATTTGGAAAGTTGGGCTATTTCATGCCCTTTACACTGGGATTTATTTGGGATCACTCAAAAGGATGTGAAGGACCTGGAAAATGTATCTTATGATTAAAAATTGGCAGCATATTGGCATGCTTTATCAACAGGGAGTTACAACACAATAAACAAAAATGGACCCTCTTTCTTCAAAAACACTGCTTACTACTTATCTGTTTGCCTAGTGAGAGGTGGAAAGGGACATAGTCAAGCTATCCTGTTTGCATGCAATGCAGTTTAAAGCCTCAATCAAGATGTTGTGAAATGAACAGACAGATTCACATTGAGTTCTCTGGATTCTTGCTCAGACCAATGGGCTTGACAGAATAATTAAAAGGTGCAACAATAAGAAATGTGGTTTCTGGGAAGAAAGGTTTTCTTAACACAGCACTTGTTCATGAAAGTTCCGAGAGAGAGAGATCCATAACAAATTGACTCCATTTACTGGCAAACCTTCTTCTTTCTAGCTCTATCCATCAATAGTCAAATGATGATGCACAACAGTATAAAATGCAGTTCACTTATCTGCAACTGTGTGGTCCTGGTGCTAAGCTCCTGGATTTCCAAAGAGTTATTATTTACCACTGGGAAAAAAAAACCAAAATCCTACTGCAGGCAGTGGACTACTTTCCTGAGTAAAATATACAGGACTGGATCCACAAGGAGGAAATAAGTGCACTGGCAAACCATCTTGTTTTCTGGGCACTCTTTGGGCACAATTGTGGGTAAATTGTTGGACAGGAAATGATATTTCTGTCCAGAGGAATACACCAACATTGCAAAAAAAGTTTTGCTCGCCATGAAGCAAAGCTGAGGCCTTTCAAGGTGTATTTTATAGAAAATATTAAAGAGAAGTGAAAGTATCACTCTGAAGAGCTAGTCTTTAGGCACCTGTTGGAGGTGTGAGCGACCATGTTGTGTCCTTGGTTTCTCCTGTTCTGGGAGAGTACTCTGCTCGCCAAGCTGTTCTAAGGTGGTACTTTGGACTCTGGCCAGATTCTCCCAAACCTAAGGTGGAACTATGTCTTACTAGAGGCCTAATGTGGCCAGTATGTACCCGTGAAAATTTTCAGCTTCAGTAATTCAGTACTTTCCCACTAAAAGAGCAAATTCATCTAAAAGGATAAGGGAAAGAAGAGGTCCCTGCCAGCTCTACCCTTCAGGCTGCAGATACATTTTAAGAGCCTATTTGGAATGCAAACAATAAGAGATGTGTGTTTTCCTCAGTGACTTTCCTTTGAGCCTCTGTGCATCTCTTCAGCATGTTGGGTTACTGGCAGAATAAGAAACTAATACGTGAAAACCTTCCTCTCATCTCCAGGTTCCTGTCTGGAATGAATCAGCTCAGATCTATAAGCTGCTTAGACCTTCCAAGCACTGTAGCTTAAATAATGGCAATAGAAGCTTTGTTAGCTCCTGATTTTTATAGGTAAGTGTCTCTCAGTCAGAAGCTGACAATCCATACAGATATATGTGTTACTGAAAATTATTTCTCAGGCCCATTTGGGCTATCGCCCATGCCTGGTAACTCGGAGTTTGGCTGAGCCTCTCCTACCTAAAAAATGCATGCTTGCTTATCCTTTATACCCACCCCTCACTTAATCAACAACTACTTCTCTCAAAACACGGCTGACCCTCTCCCTTCCTACCCATCAGCCATTCTTGCTGGATCCTCTGTCTAGATGGCTTTAAACCTGATTTGGGATTTGAGTGTTAGTTGGATTAACTCATTAGTGGGGCTCAGTTCTGGCAAGCCTGCTAATCTGTGGCAGTGGTGCATAGCACTGTGACAATATTACACTGAAAATGAGAAATCTAATGAGATTAGCATTTTATCCTTTCAGACAGAGCCTAGGTGTTTGACTGTTCTGCAGATGCTTGGTATGAACCATAGTAGGTCTAGGAGGAGACTGGTCTGTAACACAGCACCCAAACACATAGGAAGGAGATTGCAGTAGTGCAATTGTAAGGTTGAAATAGTGCAATAGAGATTGCAATAGTGCATAAGAAGCATCAGTAGCTTGTTGTAGCAAATAGAAATGTCTCTGTTCCCATCAGCTGGCTTTGTCTCAAAGGCATTTGCACATATGCCCCACAGACTTATCTCTTTTCCTAAGCATGAAGGAGGGCTGATCTGTGTCTGGGGATCACTTTGCAAGTCAATCCTGCCTTTACTAGTGATGACTGGGGAAGGTTTTAGTGGCAGATTTCATGGAGAACAAGGCTGCTGACTTCCAAGTTGTTTTTACGTCACACAGGGATGCAGAGCAAGATATGCTTATTAATGTATGACTACCAGACTGCTCCATTCTAAAATTACACCCACAAGATTAGTTGCCTGGACAAATTCCAGTTGCACTTTTCCCTCTCAAAAGCATTGTTTTTATTTCAGGTTTAAACACAGAAAAGAGGGAGCCAATATCTGTAGCCTCCTTTGGCTGCAGGGAGAGGGATTGCTCTGCCTGGTTTCTTAGGAACACCTAATAGAGCAAGACAGTCCCTAGTGCTGGGTGCATGAGCTTCTCCTGCTCTACCACCCTACTAACGGTTTGTAGAATTTTGGTAGGTGATAAGGAAGGAACCTGAAGAGTGATGCACCAGGGCTGGGAGTCACTACTAAGTGCTGTCCTAGCCTGCCACCCAGTGCTGGTTTTTGGCACTCAGTGTGCTCCAGCAATGCAGCTGGTACCTGGACTGGTTCTTCCTGGACCCTGTTGGAATATTCCTTCCTCTGACTTACTGAAACATATATTCAGGTCCTGTTTGAAATAAGCAATGTTTTAAAATGGACTGGCTTCGGAGAAATGTGTGAAAACTTCTTCAGATTCCTTCTTGAGTACTGTGGGATCAGTAGGCAATGGCTCTTGGGTGTTGTGCACTCAGCAGGTGATGGGCGAGTCTAACTTCTGGGTTGCCTTACGTGAGCCTTAAGCAAGAAGGGAAAGCTATTATTTCTGGTCTTGTTTTTCCAGAACAGCTTCGGAATGATCAGAGCTGCACAATCTCTCAGCATGGCGATGGATCCAAACCAAATGCATCCACAAAATGATGCTAAAGTTGGCAACAGTTTTCTAACTGAGATCAGTGTGTATCATCATGATAACAAACAGCTAGCAGCTAGGGAGAGGTGATAATTTCTAAAGATACCACAAAACTGCTTTAACCCCAAAGGCGCAGGGGAGGAAGGAATATTTTCTTGGAAAAGCAAGAATGGTTAACAGTGTTGTAGATCTGGCTGTTCCAGGGAGATGATGGAAGATGGTGGTGCAGATGACATGTTTTCATTCACATGACTCATGATGTCCACAAAACAATCCTCCTGTTACAAGGCTGAAGTGCAGCTGGTGGAAAAGATGTTATTTTGTTAAAATATATTCTAATACTTTTCACATAAAATCTGGGGTAGATAATTTGGGAAATTGTTTTGATTTTTTTAAGTGTTTGGGTTTTGTTTAATTTTGATTGTTTGGGGTGGTTTTAGATGTCTATCATTTCACCATTGCAGAAAAAGTAGTAACTAAGTAGTGACACTGACAAAGGAAAAACTGTATGTACAATTGAGAGCTTTAATTGAGTAAAGGAGGTAAAAAGTCTGGCACAGTCTTACAAACTGCTGTTCATCTATGAGCAACAGTCAGTTGTTTGGATTGCAGTAGCGCAGACTAAATCTGCCACACCAGTGTTTTATCAGCTAAAGAATTTAATAGAGCAGCAGCCTTTGTGACTGTGTCCTGACATTCAGCCTTGACAATGATGCCTGGATTTATCTAGGTGACCAGATATATTGAGCTTTCACTCTGCAGCGTGGGGGATGGCGGAAGGAATGAGTGGTCATTTTTCTTTAAGTAGTGAGAGAGATTTTGCTGCCAATTGAAAAGGAAGGGAAAGAGAAGAAAAAATGTGATGAGGTGGCCTTGTTCTAAAGTGTGTGAGGTGCACAGAGCAGGCATAATACAGGAAAAGGTGAATACAGAAGGAGCAGATGAAAACTAAAGGTGCATTTACTCTGAAGGGTGCTTAAATGCCATTAATATGTATTGTAAATCTTTAAATGCTCTGTTATTCAAGCATTGTATTAAGTGGAAGGAAAAAACCCACTGCTACTGATTTGCATTTTGTTATTAATTCAGAGGAAAAGAGAGGAAAAATTGTCAGCAAGGTGCCTTAGCTAAGCTTTACATAACAGTAACAACTTATGTATGGGAAGCAAATACTTAAAAAAATGAGCAAAATGAATAGAAATGTAATTCAGAGCAGCACTAGCACTTCATCTTCATGAAATGATATGGGCAAAGCCTGAATTCCAACACTGCAGTGAATTATGGGATGTGGTAGAGCTTGCAGGACTGCAGAAATAAAACATGATCAGTTATAATGTCCCATTAGGAAAAGGTGATGTAATGAATTCTTCTCTCCTGGCCTAGCAATGACATTTAATTTGCTAGGTTATTTACCCCCTGGATAAAATTCATAATCTCTCGTAATATGAAAATATCTCCTTAGATACATTTGTGGGGAATCTCATTAGAAGGTTTTGCTGAATGTATTTTTTGTCAGAGTTGTAAAGGCAGTGAGCTTCATCAACAGGGAAGCTCGACTGTGAATCCCTGGTGCTTATTCCTGATTCTGCTGCTGTATGATGCTGGGTGAACACTCTTGGCTGCTGAGACCCATTCCTGTAATTTTTCCGATTCCATCTGTGACAGGTCAGCAGGTGTAGTAAGGACTAACTTGCTGCCTAAGCCAACCCAGCTCCTTCTGGTTGAAATGTGTTGCAGCCATTTAGCCTGTCTGATGGGGAGGTCATTTTCAGTGGGACTGATGATGCATGGCTGTGTAGAAGCCTGAGTAGCAGCAGCTATGGTTAGGAAAGGGCAGATGCCCAGAGCTGCACATAGCAGTTCCTTGAGACAGTGTTACATGTTACATCCCTGAACTCAGCAAGGATTTCTGGATGCTCCAGGAAAGCTGCCATTAATGTGATTGTTCTATTCTTTTGGCTCAGTGCATAGGTTGAGATGTTATAAAGAAGAATAGGACAATTTTGGAGCTACTACAAATGAAAAAAATTACTCCTTAGTGGCTTGGCTGATATGTTTTTCTGGACTAAAGAAGCAAGAACGAACAAGATACTGTTCAGCAGAGACAAGTGCTTTAGAAGGAAACCTATTTTAATTTGATCTTTTTTAAAATCTTGAAAGGAGTCTTGAGAATTCTTAAAGAACTCACCTGGAAACACAGCTGGCTTTCTGGTTTAAAAAAAACACATACAAATCACTCCAGAATAGGCCTTGCAGTTTCTAGTACTATGGAGCATATCTGTCTCTACTAACAGGTATCTGCTAGTACATCTCTACAGGTCTGTAAATATTCAAGATGTAACTCTAATGAAAAAGATTCTCTCTATATAAAGAAAAGGTAACAGTTTATATGCAAATGTTACAGTGCTATCTCTTTAGTTATCTCAGTTTTTTAAAAAATCAAACCATGGCCTTCAGTCCTATTTAAATATAATAAAATAAAAAAATCACTTTCCAGAGATCCAGAAAGCTGAATATATTTTCCTAGCTGATTGATGCTTTTCCATTTATTTTTAAATGTAATTTTCCCTGGGTAAGGAATTGTTCTCTTGAATGTCAAAAAGGAAATATTTCCCAAATCATAGGCTTGGATTGGCTGACTTGAACCTAATGAGATAGCTCTGCTGGAGAGGGGGTAGGCTGGGGAAGCAGAGAACGGAGTGATTTGTCATGCTGGTTTTCCAGCCATTGCTAAAGAGCTGCTTTGTAATGCCAGCCTGCCAAATCTCCTGGCCACAATCAAATTACTCCCTCCGCCTGCACGCACATCCACACCCTCGCCCTTTAGATCTATCACTGACAGAATAGTTATTAAACAAAAACTCAGCCAGGGGAATTATTAATTGCCAGGCTTCATTTCTTTATCAAATGTTGTGGCCCAGAGGGAGAGCTCTTTAAGCTTTCAGAAAGACTGTAGCACATTAATCACTGGAGGGAAGTGGGGTGTGGGCTTGGCATTTGTAATACTTGTCAGATCAGAAATAGGAGATACAGAGATCAAAAGAGATGTTTATGACTTGGAGGTGAAAGGGTTTCACTTTTCTTGTTCTTCTTTGCATCCTCACTTTTTTTACTGTTGGTTTTGGTTTTGCTCTGTTGGTCTTGTCCCAGCACTTCTACTAATTCTGTTCCTATACCTCTGGCCCACACACTGTCCAGCAAGAGAAAGGCTTTGAGTTCTGGATGCAGCTTTCTGTGTACAGAGTAGCAAACCAGTGGTCACTCCTTTTGAGTGCCAGCCTGGTGTAATGCTGCACTTGATTAGGCACTGATCAGGCAGCAAAAGGCAAAGTTGGGAAGCCGGAGGCACTTAGCTGCTTGTCTGTATAAACTGATTAAATGCTGGTACCTAGCACTGAGCATCGGTCCTAAAAAGCACACCTGATTTCCTGGAAGTTTAATACTGAGTTCACTATTACATGCACAAATAGACATACACATATACTTTTGGAAAATTACTAGAATCACAGTACCTCTAGGCCACGTACATGGCAGATTAAGTCAATATTCTAGGCTGTCTGTGGCTGGAAGCACTTACTGTGTGATTAGTTAAAGCATTAATTAACATTGACCTTGTTCACTTGATCCTGAGACCTTTAGCTTCTGCAGTATGTGAAGAGATTGTTACTCCTACAGGGTACCTTATGAGGAATGCAATATAAGCTGCTGTTCAGTTGACCTTTTTTTTTCTCATAAAAGGATGATGTATCAGCTGAAGTGAGTAGCCTTTCTTGTAACACTTCAGCAATGCTGCATTTTGCATTCCTGATTCTTGCTCTGTCACGTGAAGAAATTCTTCAAACTGCTGCTGTTGAGAGGTGGGTTTGCTAGTACAAGTCATCCCCACTTGTATACATGATCTTCACAGCTGCAGAAAACCCCCTGATTTCTTGCTAATATCTTAGCTTGAAATACATAATAATTTTAGCAGATATTGTAAACACATGTCCACTTTCAACATCACCTGAATTAATTATCAAAACAGCCTGCTTCTGCAAAATATACACATCTATATAAAAAAAAAAAACTATTTCAAGAAAGAGTATGAGTGGGTAAAATCAACTTAAAGGTTTTGTAGATAAATACCAGTTTACCCACTTGTAAGATGGCACTTTGAATTTTTTTCCACTAATCTCCTGTCAAAACTAGCCAGGGTTTTGGCTGCAGTGAAGGGACCTGCAGGTATCTAGAGCCACCCTGTCTCACAGGAGCACTTGAGGGGAAAACATCTTTAATTCTGTGGTATATATGAGAGGTTGCAGTGAGAGAACGGGCTGTGTGTTAACATGCCTTTATACCGTGGCTGGCACACAGCCTGGTTTTGTACAGCCCTGCTGTTATCTGGAGCTTCTAGGTACGACTGTAATATAAATATTCTGGAAGAATAATAGGGCTATTTGTGGCTCTTGAGGGCAGCTAATGTAGCTGGTATGCAGCATGTTTTTCAAGCCTTCATCTCTTATTTTTCCAAGCATCCAGCAGGAGAGAAGAAACTAACCACATTTTCTGTGCACAGACAGAAGGAATGAGAGGAGGGATGGATCACATCAAATG